ATATATATATGATATGATTATACATTAAATAAGGATTGCGATTAATTTCTATGTAAATGATCCGGAATATTGAAAGGATGTCAAGATGATATATATGGCGATATCTCGCATTAATGAAACAGAAGTTTGGAAGCATACATTCGAAGTTGCTGACTTCAGTGTATCAAATTGTAAGCTAGACGTTTCTTTCGAAATCCTCTTCTAAATCTCAATGTGATCATTTCAATAAGATTTTCTTTTGTGATTATAATAAATTAAAGATGAATAATACTTAAAGTTTCAACTTTGAAATTTTGAATCATGTCCTTCAAGGATACTTTGATCGAAGAGGATGGCTTCGGATTTGTGCCAAGGCCACGTGGTACGGTATCGTCAAAATTAAGCGAGATTGTCAGAAGGTATTGCAAGATTATTATTACATACACGGAGGAAAAAGTTTAACTTGTGTCTGTAATTATTAATCATTTTATTGGAAATTAAGCACAGCTAAACATTTTAAAGAAGAAACATTTTTACTTTATAAAATTTGAATAAAAATTTTTACAAGAATAAACAGATTAAATAATTCAAAAAATTACTTTCAATTTTTATTTAACTGATAACTTATTCTGAACGTTACGTCTTACAGATATACTCTGACAAATAAAAACAAGGGAATTGTTCGTTTGATATCTTGGGGTGCTAGCATTCAGTCGATCAAAATTCCCAATCGAGATGGAAAACTGGCTGATGTTGTTTTAGGATTTGATGATATGGATGGTAATGTATACATATAGACATATAAAATTTTTTTTGGAATAAACGTACATTTTTTGAAGAATATAATATCAACTATTTATATTTCAAGTTCGATTTTTTACCATTGTCGCTAATATAATTAGGATATCTGAAGAACAGATATATGGGAAGCATCATCGGCCGCGTTGCCGATCACATTCCGATGCATCTCAGCAACATGATTTATCCTTCGACAATTGGCGACGAGACTAAAAACGATCATCTTAATGACGGCATGGTCGCGTTCGACAATGTTAATTGGCATTCGCAGATAGTGAACAATCGAGTGGTAGGATGTAACACATTCTCTCTAAAACCGATCGCAAGAAGTTATCAAAAATTATTGTGTTTTATATTGTATTCCTTGACGAGGTGATGTCGCATTTGAGTCGAGCCGATAGCGAGGGCTATCCCGGTGACGTGTTAACGCAAGTTAAGTACACCTGGACGGACGATAATCAGCTTCACATTAATATTCGCGCGACCAGCACAAAATCTACCCGCATCAATGTCACTAATTACTGTTTATTCAATCTCGCTGGACACGTAAGAATTAAAGAGCTTTGATTTCATCGAGATTAATAGTTTTTATCTGGTAGAAAACATTTCAAAATTTCTTCGATACATAACAAATTATATATGTATATTTAAATTGTACTTTTTTTACAGCTTAAACTTTAAATACCTGACAATAATTTTCTTAAATCAAGAAAATAAATATTGTGTTAATTTAGAGAATTTTTGGAATGTAGAAATTTTATACATTTTCTTTTCCAGGCATTTACGCCATTTCAAAAAGCTGAAAATTAAAAATTTGCAATTTAGAAAAAAGCAGAAATCAGAAAATTTAGATTTAAAAGTTCAAATTTATTTTGCGACCAATATCATTTCATTTGAATCTTTTTTTGAGACGATATCAAAATGATTCGATTGTAGGGCACCGGTTCGAAGGAATTGAAAAAACATCTTTTCATCGTCAATGCCGACAGCTGGATTTTCATGAACGTTAAGAATCACTTGCCAATCGGTATTATATCTCCGGTCGATTGTACACCCTTCGAACTGCGTTTACCAGTTCAGTTGAATCAACGTCGATTATTCGACATACCGGGTGGCGGTTACAATCACAATTTGTGCATTAATAGTCCCAGTTGCTGGTGTTACCGTTTTCACGCACGGTAATCCGTTTAGCTTTATTCCTATCTACTCGTACATCTTTTTCAATCAGTTTTTTTTTCGTCGATGTATTAACTTAGAATACTGCATCCCACTTCCGGACGATTTCTGGAAGTCTACTCGAATCATCCTGGCTTGCGAGTCTATACGGGCAATAAGTTGCCGGATTCCGAATGCGTTTATCCTCCTGATTTGAAGGATCACGAATGGGGAGGCTGCCAGGAAGCGCAAATTAATTCTTTAGAATTGGTAAGATTGTGTCACGTTTTAAATCTGCTCCGATAAAACAAATTTCTTTGTTTAAAAGGCTTTAAAGCCTGAGTTTTTTTCTAAAATTCATAATGTTGTTACTTTACTTTAAAATAAAAGAATATATTTTTCGAGAGTTATTGAAGATATTACATATTTTGAATAGACGAAGAAAGTCGCGAAGACAGAAGCGATGGAGATTTATGGTAAGGAGGGTATTCCTTATCGCCGCCATGGCGGCTTTGCTTTATCGCCCCAAAATTATCCTAACGCTGTTAATGTCAAGTATTTTCCATCCTGCATGCTGTATCCCGGAAAGATCTACGTGCACGACATGACTTACAAGTTCGGGGTGCTTTCCAAAGATTGACGTCTTTTTCTATCTCGATTTATCAATGATTTTCCTTTATATATAAAAAAAAAAAATACATTTTTCAAACATGAATTTTTGCGTTCCAAATTCTTGAATATAAAACAATGATTTAGATGTATTAAAAGTTGGCTATATGTAAATGCGACGGAGACTTAAAAATATTTGAAGATTTAAGACAAATGTCATTCTTCTATGAGAAAGAAATAGAAGCCGTTTTAAATAAACTTTATTCACATCCTTAAATATATATAATACCAATCTTGGCATGTTCTTTAGTATTATACATAATTAAAATCGTTACTATGTATAAGCACGAAGTAATGACGTATAATCAAGCAATCGTATATATCGGTGTATCTACGAAATTTTCTTTGAAATTTCAGCGCAACAAAATGTACTGATTTTGTACATAAAACTACATTCGTGCCACATTTCTCTCTACCGAGCTAAAATTTATAAATATATAAAGCTACATTTGTTTCTGTTTACACGTGCGTTCGTTCGCTTAAAGCTATGTATAATAATCTAGCGTTTGTACATCTCTAACTACTACTTCTAATCAAATCGTATTATGTAACAAGTATAGGCAGTAAATCGAGAAAACGCTTTTACACGTTCTTGACGACGCGCAAAGAGTTGCTGGAGCATCTCATTTCGGCTCTTATCAATGAATTGTTATTAAAAATTGTTTTGACACGCGCGCGAATCTCACGTAAGTCAGCGAATGTAAAAATCTGACGATTATCGAAAAAGGTAAGGTACTCGATTGGTTACATTGGCAGTGTAAATGTATCAAACACTGTTGGAAAATTTTGTTTTCTTGTTAAAAAATATGCTGGTTAAAATTTTTGTGTTAAATATTTAACACATTTGTGTGTTAATTTAACATATTGCTGTTGTCTTAAGTGAACCCAAGTGTTAAATTATTAAAACAACTAAAAAAAAAGTATAAAAATAACACAACGGGCACATATTTTTAATTTTACACAATAGATATGTTTCGTATTATTAGTTACAGGATTTATCTGTTAAAATTTACTATTAAAAAAAAAATGTTGATTTTATTCTACAATAAGAGTGAAAGTGACTACAGACCGTTAATAAAATTTTTCCAAGTTTATTTTATCTTAGTTAATTTTATCATTAAATATATATTGATTCTACATAAAACTTATTTTAAATTATTATAAGATTTGCATTTAAAATTTGTGTTGAAATATTAACACAGTATTAGTGTCACCATTTAACATATTCATATTATGTCAAATTAACACAAAAATTTGTATGGATCGTTTGGGACATGCAATATATGTTAAATTTAAGTCAAATTTTCTAACAGTGAAGATATCGTAGATAAATTGGCAGTCGTAAATAACTGTTATATTCCTTGTAAATAAAACATTTATTATCTGGCAGTTAAATAATGCGATTTATGCGCGAGTGAACACAAAAGATTTAAGGCGCTCAACGTTCCTCTGTATTTCATCGAATCACGTTGGACCATTTTAAAAATTAGCTCAACGGAAGACGTATATATATCTTGCTTTTTACAGACCCCTTCCGTAATTCACGCTCCTTCCATGTTGGCCTTCCTGGTGCTTTTAATACTTTACCGTAGCTTGAATTAATTCGCAAAGAATTGACTAAAAGAAAAAGCGTAACGCGCAGTGTCGGGCAGTGTGTTTTCTCACGCAATTCGATTATCCTTTATCCTTCCATTGATCTCATTCCACGACTATGAGATGGACTGTGAGTGTCAGCGGTTTCTCCCATTCCGTTCTCATCGCCGTCGTGTTTTCGGGACGACCGTGAATCACTATGTCAAATTCGCCCGGGTTTTTCAGCCGGTGCCGGAAGTGCAAGGCGGAAACGCCGCGGTCTCTGACGATCTCGAAGTGTCCGTCGTCGTTGCCCCGCGCGATGATGTAATTCATTTCCTCGCCCTGTGAGACGATAATAATAATTGCAACTTATTTTAAATTGAAATTACTTAAAGGAAAAATCTTAACGTTATCCGAAATCTTCTTTTAAAAATTACCTTGATAGCGGATTGCAATTTAATGATCCGTGTGCGATGCCTCGTTTGACGTAGATTAATCTTAAGCACGTGCTCCATTCCATGATGATGCCTCTTCGGTCTTTCGGAGTTTCGACGTTTCTTCGTTATTCTGTTTCTCCTCGTCTTCGTCTCTTCGCCGTCAGATTTATCTCTAGTGCCTCTTCTGTGTCGCCCATTTCCGTTTATCTAATTCAGAGACGCGTTTAAATCTCATTTATTCCGCGATCAAAAAAGTAGATGTACAAACCTTGCAGGAGAAACATCCTTCCGTGGAAATCGTCTTGTCGTCGGCTGACGGTATGTGATAAGAATCAGGATTGATTTGGAAAATCGGCACGTTGCCAATATCTTCGTCGTAGCGCCCTTGAGACAAGGGATTAATCGTAGACAGACAGTGACCCTGCAGAAAATTTTTAATATATATATTCTTATATTTTTATTCTTGAGACGTTTTAAACGCAGCTTGTTTCGTTCTCTTATGGGAACGTGCAATACGATTGGAGAACAAACCTGTCCTATTCGCTGATAACCGGTGGGACAGCCGCAAATAAATCCGCTGGCTCCGTTTGGAGTGCATCCGAAGGCGCAGGGACTGCCAAAACATCCGACACTTACCTTTTGAGAGAGAGAGAAAAAAAATACGAAGTAAAACATCTCCATATTTTTTAGAAATTGGAATGAAAAGGGATTTAACAAATTCGCGAATGCAATACCTGCACGCAGATCGCTAGATTGTTATCGAATTGATAACCGTTCGGACAACCGCATTTGTAACCGCCAATTGTATTGATGCAGGTACTGTCACCGCATGGCGACTCGTTGCATTCATTCTCATCCATGCACTGGTTGTAATAAATGTGCTGGACAAAGCCATCCGGGCATCCGCAGCGGTAACTGCCCATAAAATTCTGAAAGAATTACAGATTCTGAGAACAATGGTTTTCTTAAAGAAGGTGGATTTTTTCTTGGAATTTTCTTTAGGAGGTAGTTTATTTTTTCTAAAGAGGTAGTCTTTTCTAAAACGGGAGTTCTAAGGCAGTAAATAAAACGGTCATTATTATTTGGTCAGTATTATATAAGAGTCCTAAAGTATATAATATAATGGTCATTATTGCGCTTACCTGACAACCGTGTTCGCAACTGGCATCGTCGGCGCATTCATTGTGATCGGTGCAAAAACGCCCAGTATGGTCCAACTTGAAGCCTCTGGGACAGAGACATTGGAAGCTGCCGAGGGTATTAACACACTTGCCAGGTTTCGGGCAAACACCTGGTTGCTCGCATTCATTTATGTCTGCAAAAAAAATATGTTACAAGAAGCACATGAAAGAAGATTATTTCATAATGCATAACGAAAAAATATATCCAATTATATATTCACATTAATTGCTGTTACAATTAAACAAAAAAAAAATAATTAAGAAATTGGTAGGCAAACCATGACATGCGTCGCCTTGTTGGTTGTAGCCTTCCTGGCAGCCGCAAGTGTAACTTCCTGGAGTATTTATGCAATTCTGCTGGCACAGGTGATTCCCGGTCGCGCATTCGTCGAGGTCCCTACAGCTGGTACCGTCGGGATTCAAGATGAAACCGGACGGGCACGAGCAGATGAAACTGCCCTCGGTGTTTTGGCAATTGTACTTGCACGGCTTCGGCGTTGACTCGCATTCGTTAATATCTGGCGCGATACCATATAGTTCAGTTTAGTTCAGTTCTTTAATAATTATCATATATTTGAACAATCGCAGAGAAGAGCTTACCGATACATTGAATGCCAGATTTGTCGGCTTTGTAACCTTTATTGCAGATGCATCTGTAGGAGCCTAGAGTGTTAATGCACAGACCGTTTCTGCAAAGGTCGGGTATAGTCTTGCACTCGTCGATGTCTGAAAATTTATATCGATAAAGATTCTCTTAATGGACCACAAATACAAATACATAACAAGAAAAATAAAATATCGCAGTATACCTTGTCCGTTGACTGAGAACCCTTTGTCCAGGCAGAGCTCGTTGTAATTGTCGGAATCCCTCGACGGACAGATTTCGCAATGCGGTCCCCATGCGGCTCCCATGGTGCAACAACAATCCGCCTTAGTGACCGTCCGCAGTTCCGACGTTCTGGCGGTGCATCTGCCACCGATTGTTTGCAGGAAACAATAACCGACCCTGCGATCTGATTATACAGAAACACGAAACTGTGAGAGAAACTATATCTTTCTAATATTTTTATTTAATCGCGCGCTTCTCATACCGATACACGATTTCCCGTCCAAGCTCTGCTCGAAACCGTCGTGACATAGACACTGGTAGCTCCCCTCCAAGTTGACGCAACGGCCGTGTTGACAGAGACCGGAATTGATGGCGCATTCATTGATGTCCTTGCACTCGTCCGCCATTCCTATCTTCTGGTAACCGGGCGGACAGATGCATATGAAGGTGCCGATGAGATTTTTGCACTGGAATCTGCAATCGTTCGCCGGTGTCGTGCATTCGTCGACGTCTGGAAATTTAATTTATAAAGCGCGCAGAGTTTAATTCAATTTAATTTTAATTTTAATTGAATTTAATAACACATTTTTTTCTTAATTACCTACGCAATGGCGGCCGTCGGGCGCCAAAGTGTAACCATACGGACAGATACAACGGAAGGAACCCGGCGCGTTGTGACACCGGAATGCGCACTGATTGCCCATTTCAAGGCACTCGTTCACGTCCTCGCAGACTTGATTGGCACCCGGCGCGAAACCGTCGTTACACGAACATTCGAAGCCGCCGTCGATGTTGCGGCAAGTGCCGTTGCCGCAAATGTTCTGCATGCCCAGGCATTCGTTGTGATCCACGCAACGCCTCCCGGTTTCGTCCAAAACGTATCCGGTCGGGCACTCGCATCGGAATGAGCCATCCGTGTTGATACATTCGCCGCCGAGACAGGCGTCCGGCATGAACAGACACTCATTCAGATCGATCCCAGTGTCATCCCGTCCTGGTCCTTCCGGGCACAGCCTCTTAAATTCCTCTGGATAAATGAAATTATATTTTTTTTTTTTTTCTAAATATTTATATCTTTTATACATGAATTATATATACTATCCGACAATGAGTCATTTTGTTTTTTTTCTAGTGGGATAAATGTAGGAGTGGGGATACCTATCCTATGTTCCTCGTATGAGTATCCCCACCCCTACGTTCACCTCGCTAGGGGAACGAAACAAATCATTGTCGGGTAGTATAATGGGTACTTATAATGCAAACAATTTTCTTGATATAAAAAAAATTAATAAAACTTGTACGACAGATTTGCGATAAAAAAATCTAATTAATTCTACGCTTATTAAATTAAATTTTTGATTAATTGGAGTTAATTTAATTAAAATTAAATTCAAATTTTATTTTTGTTGAGAGAAACAGTTTGTTTAGTTCAGTTTTGGGGGAAAATATCCTTTACCGCTAGCTTCCGGCGGACATTGCTCGCAGTAGCGGCCCCAAGCCTTGCCCATCGTGCAGCAGCAGTGCTTCTTGGTCACCCCACCTTCCCGCGGGAGGGTGCACTGACCTCGTCTGTAGCTGTCATAGCATTGCTCTTCCCTCACGTCGATGCATCTAAGCGAGTTCGGTTTGTCGCTCAACTGATACCCGACCGGACATTCGCAGATCACACCGCCCTCCGTATTGATGCATCGACCATTTTCGCAAATGTCTTGCGTCTCCACACATTCGTCCACATCTGCAGGATAAACAAAATGTAAATCGTATTAACAAGAGCTACGTATGATATGAGATAATGAATATGATTTTATGATTTCAAAGTTGTAAACGGACCGACGCATCTTCTCCTGGTATGATCCAGCTCGTATCCTGGTGGACAGCTACATATATAAGATCCCATTAGGTTTTGACATTTTCCGGGAGGCGGACACAATCCCGGTATCTGCAACAATTCGAAAATATTAATTTTAGAAGAGCGCAAGTTGATATATGTAAACATATTATAAATGTTTTCTGTCAGAATCTCTTCTGTCAAATCACGACGTACCTCGTGACACTCGTCGATGTCGCGACAGTGCTGGCCATCCTGAGCCAATACATAACCGTCCGCGCATTCGCAGACAAAGCCACCGATCGTGTTTCGGCATCGACCATTGCGACATAAAAACGGCATTATTCGACACTCGTTGATGTCTAAAATGAGTTTTTGTATAATCAAGATATATATGAGGGACCGATACTTATCAAAAAAAATTGCGATATTAAAAAGTATAAAGAGATGAAGAACCATTAGCTGTCAAACCCACCCGCGCAATCGTTATTCGGACTGAGTTTGAATCCCTGATAACATTGGCACTTATAGGAGCCCAGAGTGTTGATACAAGTGCCGTTGTTGCATATATTCGGATTGCGCTGGCACTCGTCAATATCAACGCAGTTGTCTCGGTCGCGGGTCAACGTGAACCCGGCATGGCAGACGCATTGAAAGCCACCTTGCAGGTTGCTACACGCGCCGTTGCTGCAAATCCCTGGTCGCTCATAACACTCATCAATATCGACGCAATCGCGCTGGCCGGGACCGAGTTTGTAACCAGCCGGACACACGCATTCGAAATAGCCCTGCTGATTAATACACTGAGCGTTTCCGCTACAGGGATTCGGTATCTAAAAAAAATGACATAAATACATTATTGACGAGTATTATTCGATATTATCGAGAAAATATATATCGACAAATATTATTATATTTTACTTTTATAATAATTCCCAATGCTGCTTTTAAATATCGAGGAGAAATGAAGAGTTGGAGATTTCTTTTCGCGATTAAATTAAGATACAGTTAAGCTTTTTCAAATTTTGTTGAAAGTCGCACCTGTAAACATTCATTCTCGTCGATGCATTGATGAGAATCTTGATCGTAGACGTAGCCGCGCTCACATTGACACTCGAAGCTACCGGGAGTGTTCATGCACCGGCCGTGGGTGCACATGGTCGGCATCAGGGCGCATTCGTCGATCTCCTCGGAGTGATTCGTGATCGGGTTCATGATCTGACCAGGCACCAGTCCGCATAGAATCTCATGTTCGCCTGCGAAGGGGAACCGTACGATTGATTTCGATCATCTCGAGATATAGGAAAATCGCTCGAATATTTATTACTTACGAGTTCTCTCGTCGGGACATTTCTCGCAAAGACTACCCCATGCGGCTCCCATGGAGCAGCAGCACAACATTTTTGTCTGCGGCTGCACCATGGTATTAAGACAATGTCCGGAATCGTAGGTAAGATAACAGGGTTCCTTCCTCATATCGACGCATTCCTCTAAGAAGACAAACATATTACAATTACGTCTTATAATTTCGAGAGAGATTTAGAATTTCATTTTATATATTTATATAAAATACATATATTTTAATATGTAATATATATAAATAATATTATATATTATTTTAGATTAATATATATATAATAGATATAATATTATATATTATTTAATATTAATATATACAATATTTTATATATTTATATAAAAAATTGTGTATTTATATAAATACACAATTTTTTCGCGTTAATATAGCGTTACCAAGTAATAATATAATAAATTCAACGATAAAATGAAATGAGAAATGAATATCAAGTACATATTTTTTTTAAATTATTTAGTTGTGTATGTACTGACTTCCTCCAGGCATCGCCATGTATCCTTCGGGGCACTCGCAATGATATTTTCCTTGGTCATTGATGCAGTATCCAACGCCGCATATCCGTGGATGTAATGCGCATTCGTTAATGTCTGCAATATATATATATATTTTTTTTTTTTTTTAATATTGAAACGTGAATCAATAATCCAAAAAATTTAATATTTAAAAGAAGATTTGTACAAGAGAGAGAATATAAATAAAGCGTTAGGGATTATAAATTATATAAACCGGAGTATATAATTTCCGAATCGTTTGTTTCTATTACCGATACAGCTGGTCTTGGAATCGTCCAGGATGAAGCCTTCGTTGCACGAGCACATGAAACTACCGAACGTGTTAGTGCAGTGTCCGTTCTGACAGATATTCTCGTGCTCCACGCACTCGTTGATGTCCTCCAGAATGACAGTTACACGATTCGGTCTGTATCCTGGCCCGCTGGGACACAGTTGATCGTATTCCTTCGTACCAGCCCGCGGACATTCCTCGCAACCGGTGCCCCAGGCAGTGCCGATGCTGCAGCAACATGTCGCTTTTGTCACCGACGATGCTACTTCAAAGATGCACTGGGGCTTTCCGGTGCCATGCTCGTAGCCCGTGAAGCAAAGCGACTCGCGTCTATCTGTGTGAGCAATAGCAAGTCAGACATAGACAAAAAGGGTATTTGGAAAATAAAAATATTTACGTAAGCTATTTTATCAGATTTCTAAAAATCGATAAATCTAATAACGTTTCAATTTATTATAAATCTAAAAGTTATCAGAACTCAGAAAATAAAAAGATGTAATAATTTTCCGATTTTAAATGCATCAAAAAGTTATATTAGAATTCCAATATTTTAGAGAAATCTACACTAAAAGTAATTTTTTCTTTTTCAATCAAATAAATACATTTTGTTAATTTTTTTTTTTTTATTAAATAAATATATACTTTGTTTCCAAAAATGTTTTGTTATACAAAACATAAATAAATACATTATTAGTTGCATATAATAAAAGTTATAATTTCCAAAATGAATTATTTAAAATTTTAATATAAAAAAATATTTATTTGAAGATAAAAAATTATTCATTACAATAAAAAAAAACACCTGTGTTTTTGAAAAAAGCAACTTAAAATTGAGAAATGTTTCTTTAAAGAAAGTAATTTAATATAATAAATATTAAAAAAATTTAATATAATTTTTTTATTTGCAAATAAAAGTATACTCTGCTTTTATTTTATATATATTTTACTAATTCAAATATATATTTGCTGCTTGATTGAAATAACTAATTCCTGCAAGTGTTTAAATAAACGATTTTTTTTTAATAAAAAAAAAAATTTTTTTGGGTTTAGTACATTTTTTTTAGTATAGAATCTTAAATGATTCTACCTACCAACGCAGGCATTCCCAGCTTCCACTAGCTCGTGATGCGGCGGGCATCTGCAGATATATTTGCCTTGTATGTTGATGCAAGTGCCGTACTGGCAGGATTGCGGGCTCTCACACTCGTCTACGTCGGTGCAGTTGCCGCCGGAATTGTCCAGTTTGTAGCCTTCGTTGCACTCGCAACGGAACATGCCGAAGATGTTCTCGCAGCGACCGTAGACGCATAGATTGTTAAACATTTCGCATTCATTAATATCCACGCACGCCTGTTCGCTACGCTCGTCCGGATGCATGAAGCCCATTTCGCACTCGCATCGATACGCGCCCGGATAATTCAGGCAGTGTCCGTTTTCGCAGAGCGTGCTGTCCTCTGCGCACTCGTCGATGTCCTTGCAGTTGTAACCGTCGCCGCGAAAACCGGCGTCGCACACGCACTGCAAGCATCGCCGATTAAACATTTAAATTTAGATCTGACAGGCCGTGCAATAAACATGTTTGTAGTGTAAGATAAATTCTCGAGCAGAGAGAAAGAATATCCGGGGCTCCCTAGCAGGACTCGATCCTAGGATCCTTAACAACACAAATGTCCAAAGGACATCCAGAAGACATCCAGAGCATGTCCTGCGAAGAACATCCTCTGGATGTCCTCTGGATGACTTCTGGATATCATCTGGATGTCCTCTGGACATGTGTATTGTTAGGGATCTTATTCTCAGCTGGTTGGTACTTTGCTACTGAGCTACGCACTGTCCCATGCCACTGTGTTCCTCCTGCTTGGTTATCTATATTCTTCTTTATTTCTTACAGTAGTTCAACGGTGAGCCGCAATAAGCGAATCGCGGGAGTCTTCGAGATACATACCTTGAAGGAACCTTCGGTGTTGATGCAGTGAGCATTGGAGTCGCAGCCGCCATTGTTGGTAGAGCACTCGTTGATATCCCAGCACTCGATCCCGTTCCCGGTAAAACCATCATGGCACGTGCATACGTACGAGCCCTGGGTGTTCTGACACTCGGCGAATTCGCTGCAAGAGTAAGCGTTCAGTCGGCATTCGTCGTCGTCGGTGCACGCCGGTCCTTCCGCTGGCTTCACCGAGTAGCCTTCCTCGCAACGGCAGTTGAAGGATCCAATCGTATTGTAGCACTCGCCGTATCCGCATATCTGCGGCTGCATCACGCACTCGTCGACATCTGACAATTTAATAATATTGTAGACGATTATATATATCTAATTTTAATATAACAAAACAGTAATGTGGATACAAGGAGAATTTACCTATACAGGATATACCGTCTCTTCCGGGCAAGAGGCCATTTGTGCAATTACATGCGTAGCCACCCGGTACATTTCTGCATTTACCTCCATTGCAGATTCGAGGGTTCTCCGTGCATTCGTCCACGTCCACACAGGTACGTCCGTCCAGATTTAAAGCGTAACCGGTGCTGTCACAAGAGAAATCATTATTCTTTTTATGATTCTCGAGATTTTAATTGTAAATATATCAAGTTAACATTAAGCTTAGATTTTCTAAGAAAAAAATATAATGATCCTTCACCGGCAGGAGCAAGAGAAGCTGCCCGGCGTATTCAGACAAATGTCCTCACAACCGCCGTTGCTGATCGCGCACTCGTTAATATCCTCGCAATGGGACCTGAGGCCCGTTTGCTGATAGCCATCATCGCAGATGCACTGATAAGTGCCCATCATGTTCTCACAAACGCCGTTCGAGCATATACCGCTGGTCCTCGAGCACTCGTCGATATCTTTGCAGGTCTGCTTGTCGGGGCCTAGTTCGTGTCCCGGAGGGCACTGACAGCTAAAGCTTCCTTCGGTGTTGATGCAAGTACCGCCACGACACAGACCCGGCGTCTCCTCGCATTCGTTTATGTCTGAATAGAGAAATATTTCGCGTTATCCCGGAAAAAAGATATCTTTAGATTTGATAGATCTTAATGAAACTTTCCTCTTATGCCTTACCCATGCAAATCTTCATAATGTCATTGCTGCGATAACCAGGGGTACAGTCGCACTGAAAATTGCCGGGTGTATTTCTGCAGGTACCGTTACCGCAAACACCACGCATGATCTCGCATTCGTCGATATCTGCATAGAATTAAAAGTTTAAATTAATTCATTATTTCTATATATTAATTAATTAGTTTCTCTCGATTAGCATCTTATTCTTCTGAAATCTCTTTCTCGGGATGGTATAGGAATTAAAAATAGATCTAAATCTCCTTACACCATATAGCTCAGGACACCGAAAAAAAATTTCTCTCTAAAATTCAAAAACCTCTTGCAAAATCCGGAAATTTTTTTTTTAGATATCACCTACCGTTACACTTTACACCGTGCTCATCAAGGGCGAACCCCTGATTGCATCTACAGCTGTAACTGCCGATCGTGTTTTTGCATCTGCCGTTCAGACACATTCCCGGAAATTCGACGCACTCGTTAATGTCCTGACGCTCAGTAAAGCCGTCTCCCCGTGGGCATAGTTCCGCGTGGGCCGGTGTGCCCACCTTGGGGCACAATTCGCATTTCTCGCTGCCCCAGGCTCGGCCCACGGAGCAACAGCAGAGGCTTTTGGAGAAATGGCCCTCTACGGGATTGGTGCACTGGCCGTGACGATAATCCAAGAAACACGCTTCCTGCCTAGTATCGATACAAGTGGTGTCTGAAACCGGGAAACAAAGAGTTGAACGTTCGAAAAATATCTATTCTATCGTTCAAAAATATATATTTTTTTCGATTTTTGGGAGAGAAACGGAGAGCGACGAGTATCCGTAATAATTCGTCGCCAACTAGCTTACGCGTCGCGTCTAGGGTGAGGCCGGGTGGACACTCGCAACGGTACGAGCCATCCGTGTTGACGCAGGTACCGCCGCCCTTGCAGATCCCGCTGTTGAGCTCGCACTCGTTGATGTCGGCGCAATCTTTGCCGTCTACCTTCGCGTAACCTTTTGAACACTCGCAGAAGGAATGCTCGCAAGGCTCACACGGGCTGCCCCAGGCTACCCCGACCGAGCAGCAGCACTCGGAACGTAAAGCCACTCTTGGCAAATTGTTCTCGCATCGACCATCCACCATCTTGGTCCAGCACGAACCCTTTCGATTGTCTAAAACCAAAGAGAGTCAGGAAGAAGTCCGTCTATAGTTATTTTATTTTTATCTATCGATTATTCCGTTCTCATTTAGAAAAAATTAGATAAATTTTAAGAAAAAATTAATTTTTTGATGTTTCTTACTCCGGCAAATGTAACCGGTATTATCGAGAACGTAACCCGGGGAACACTCGCATTCGTAAGCTCCCAGAGTATTGATGCACACGCCATTGAAACACACGTCTGGTCCTAACTCCTCGCACTCGTCCACGTCCTCGCACATTTGATTCTGCGTGTTGTATCTCATACCCGTCGGGCAAATACACTGAGGGTGAAATCACGCAGTTGGCAATTACGAATTTACGTTCCAAAAATGTGAAATTAATTTGAAACACATATATAACGTATCGAAAAAATTTTAAAAATATATATATACATATACATATATAATTAATTAACACAATAATTAATATATTTATAAAAGATATATATATATATATTTTAAATATTATATATTAATTATTAAAAATATATATATACATATACATATATAATTAATTAACACAATAATTAATATATTTATAAAAGATATATATATATATATTTTAAATATTATATATTAATTATTAAAAATATATATATACATATACATATATAATTAATTAACACAATAATTAATATATTTATAAAAGATATATATATATATATTTTAAATATTATATATTAATTATTAAAAATATATATATACATATACATATATAATTAATTAACACAATAATTAATATATTTATAAAAGATATATATATATATATTTTAAATATTATATATTAATTATTAAAAATATATATATACATATACATATATAATTAATTAACACAATAATTAATATATTTATAAAAGATATATATATATATATTTTAAATATTATATATTAATTATTAAAAATATATATATACATATACATATATAATTAATTAACACAATAATTAATATATTTATAAAAGATATATATATATATATTTTAAATATTATATATTAATTATTAAAAATATATATATACATATACATATATAATTAATTAACACAATAATTAATATATTTATAAAAGATATATATATATATATTTTAAATATTATATATTAATTATTAAAAATATATATATACATATACATATATAATTAATTAACACAATAATTAATATATTTATAAAAGATATATATATATATATTTTAAATATTATATATTAATTATTAAAAATATATATATACATATACATATATAATTAATTAACACAATAATTAATATATTTATAAAAGATATATATATATATAATATTTAATAACAGAATATAATATTAATATATATAATCTAATAATAGACAATCTATATATACATATAATCATATAATTAATATACTTAGTAAATAATTTGCTTGCCTGGAAACTACCGGGTGTGTTTCTACATTGACCACCACTGCACAAAGAATCCTCCAGCTCGCACTCGTTGATATCGCTGCATATCTTTCCTGTCGCATCAACCTCATATCCATTGTCGCAGATGCACCGATACGTCCCCATAAGATTCTCGCATCCACCATTGATGCAAATATTAGGGTTCTGGGCGCACTCGTTGATGTCTGTTAATAATATCCGTTAACTCTTAAAAAATTATTCACCGAATCGAAACGGAGAAGATCTCAATTTTATTAAAATGTTTCGCAAAATTTATGGGAATCTCTTTATATGTACTTTGGATTTTTGAGACTTTTAAAATATTATAGTTTCTTTTGGCAAAACTTCGAAGAACTTGTATTTTCGAGGGAAGCATCCGTTTATTTACCATCGCCGTTGTAAGTCATTCCGCCACCGTGTGGGCACAGGGCTTCGAACTCCCGGGTGCCCGGAAGCGGGCAGGGTTGGCACGTGCTACCCCAGCCTAACGGCTGGCCCAGGATCACCGTGCAGCAACAACAGCTAGATTTTGTCACGGCGGTTGAAGTCGGGTTGGAGCACTGGCCGTCTCTGTACTGCGAATAGCACAGATCTCTTCTCGTATCTGACCAGCGCAGAATCATCCGATAGAAATTTAATTTTTCATTAAACAAAATTAATTTTTATTTTATCAAACAAATCAGTATATTTTAATTATTTTAATTTATATTATTAGGTGTACAACTTTGCTTCCGCCGTTTTTTCCCCGAAATTCGAGGCTTTATTGTAAAAAACTTTTATGATTCTTATGATTCAAAGTATTGTCCATCGCTGGCCACTACTTTCTCCCATCTTTCGGGCAGCGTACGAATCCCGCGTTGAAAAAACTGGTCATCTTTTAAAGCGACCCACGGATCGATCCAATTTCTTACTTCTTCATAAGACCAGAAGTGCTGGTCAACCAGGCCGTGTGCCATTGATCGAAACAACTGATAGTCAGAGGGAGCAACGTCTGGAGAATACGGCGGGTGGGGTAGGACTTCCCATTTCAACGTTTCCAAGTATGTCTTGACCACTTTCGCAACATGGGATCGAGCATTGTCATGCTGCAAAATCACTTTATCGTGTCTCTCGTTGTATTGCGGCCGATTGTCTTTTAATGCTCGGCTCAAACGCATTAACTGCGTTCGATAACGATCGCCTGTGATTGTTTCAGTCGGTTTTAACAGCTCATAA